CTTCCTCGTCGCCCCTCCTCTTTTGTCATTCCTCCTCCTTCGTCCTCTCTCCTGCTTCGTCTCCCTCTATCCTCCCCTTCTCCTCCTCCTTTCTACCGGCCTCCCTCTGTCTGTCCCTCCCCCCTCCTCTCTCGTCTTTGTTTTTTTTTCCCTTGCCACCCCGTGTCCTTCTTCATTTTCTCTTTCTCCTTCGGCCCCCCTTCCACGGCCGCGGCGCGTCGCTGCGAGCGGCGCCCCCGCCTTCCGCGAGCGGCCCCGCCGCTGGCGGTGGAAGAGGAATATTGCGAGGAGAAAAGGATGGGGGGGGGGCAGGGGCGCGAGGCGGGCGCGGCGGCATGGGCGGCCCGGCAGGGGGATGGGGGAGGGCGGGGGGGGGGGGTCGGAGTGGGCGGGTGCTTCTGTAATGGTCATGTTGGTGATCGTGGTCGTGGTCGCGTTCGTCGCCTTGGTCGCGCTGGCGGCGGTCGTGCCGCTGGCGGTGGGTGGGCTGGTGGTGTCACGTGGGTGATCGTAGTGGTGTCGGTCGTTGTGGTGGTCGCGAGAAGTGTGGTGGTCGTTGTGGTGGTGATGGTGGTAAATGGTGTTGGTCGTAATCGTCGCGGTGGATGTGGTTGCGGTCGCATCCGTTTGTGGTGATCGTGGCGGCAGTAGCTTTGGCGCTGGCGGCAGTTGCGGCGGCTGCGGCGGCGGCTGCGGGGACCTGCTGGCCTATCGCTGGGGTGCGTTCAGCAGCATCGCTGCATTTGTAATGTTAAAGTTAAAGGGGGTTGCTGATCTGCCGAGGTAGCTCAGCGGTCGCCTTCTTCTCGCCGAGAGGGCCGCAGCGTGGGCGACTTTCTTATTCCCGAAGGCGACCGGCCTTTTCAGCGGCCGTGGAGAGGGCGACGCGCGTGCGATCCGCCCCGCGGGTGTCCGCCGCGCTGGCGACGCACTCACCAAATTGCCCCCTTGCGAGGGCGACGTGCACGTTCGAGAGGGCGGCTGGCCTTTTCGGCGGCCGACGCACGGGCGGCGCACGGGCGACGAATGCGCGACGCACCTCCTTTTGCGAAGGGGGGGGGTCAGCACGCCGGTCGCTTTACTGGGCCTTAACAGTGTGGTTGGGTGCAGCTGTCAGCCATGCACTCGGTGTCTCGGTGTTTGGCTTCGTCAAGTGAGCGACCCTGCGCTGAGTGGTTCAGCCTTCTGCAGTTCGTGGTCGCTCTCTTCTGAACAGCCCCGGCTACTAGCCCTCGTCAGTACTTTGCATCGTTGTGCCCCCGAATTGCGAGTCGGATACGATGCGCATGCACTGGCTACCGGCTGGAGGTGGCTCAGCCTCGTGAGCGCACACCAGTGGTCTTTCTCTACTGGATGGCGCTCTGACGTGGTTAGCCACACCTCTGCAAGTGAACGGCCTTGCATCGAGTGGTTCAGCCTTCTGCAGTTCGTGGTCGCTCTCCTCAGAGCAGCCCCAGCTACCAGCCCTCGTCAGTACCGTGCATCGTGGCGCCCCCGTTCTGCGTGTGTCGGAAACGATGTGCTCGTATTGGCTACCGGCTGGAGGTGGCCCAGCCTCGCGAATGCACACCTGTGGTCTTTCTCGGCTGGATGGCGCTCTGCCGCGGCTCAGCCCTTTAGCTTCAGTGAGCCTTCATGAGACAGGCCTCTTCCGCCGCACCTCGTTCACCTGGGGTGCTGCTGTGAGTCTGAGTTCGTCGCTCGCGCTCGCTTTCTTTCCCCTCTCCTGCCTCCTGCCCCGCTTCGCTCCTTCCCCCCGCTCTTGCCCCCGCTTGTGGTTCGGCTGGAGCTTGCCGCCGTCTCCGCGCCTCTGCGTCCCCACCTGCTGGGATGCCTGAGCGGGTCACCTCTAATGAGGGTCATTTTGTCCCTGGCACGTGCACTCGCCTATGCGGCCTACGCGCCAATGGCCAATTATCTGCTGTCTGAGCCCCAGTCGTTAATCCCGCTTCGTGACCTCTGTCCTGGAGCCGCCAACCAAAAAAATATCCCGGCAAAGCAACCTAACAGCGATGTGTAGAAACATATCTGAAAGCATTCCCCTTAAGATTCAGATGAAAATCAAGTTGTAGAATTCTGCTGTTCTCGCAGTCGTAGTCGCATTCGCGATGACAGTCGCAGCGGCAACGGCAGTCGCAGTCACAGCCTCAGCCTCAGCCTGCCTCAGCCTCAGCCTCAGCCTGCCTCAGCCTCAGCCTGCCTCAGCCTCAGCCTCAGCCTGCTTCAGCCTCAGCCTCAGTCTGCCTTCAGCCTCGGCCTCAGCCTCAGCCTGCCTCAGCCTCAGCCTGCATCAGCCTCAGCCTCAGCCTCAGCCTGCCTCAGCATCAGCCTGCTTCAGCCTCAGCCTCAGCCTGCCTCAGCCTCAGCCTCAGTCTTCAGCCTCAGCCTCAGTCTGCCTTCAGCCTCGGCCTCAGCCTCAGCCTGCCTCAGCCTCAGCCTGCCTCGGCCGCAGCATCAGCCTGCCTCAGCATTCAAAATGTGGCCCAGGAATGGAGTTCTGGGAACTAGAAGAACACGAAGTGGCCTACAGTTGGCTCCGGGCATTCAAAATCATGCCCAGGAATGGAGTGCTGGGAACTCGAAGAGCACGAAGTGGCCTACAGTTGGCTCCGGGCATCCAAAATGTGGCCCGGGAATGGAGTTCTGGGAATCGAAGAGCACGAAGTGGCCTACAGTTGGCTCCGGGCATTCAAAATGTGGCCCGGGAATGGAGTTCTGGGGAACTCGAAGAGCACGAAGTGGCCTACAGTTGGCTCCGGGCATTCAAAATGTGGCCCGGGAATGGAGTTCTGGGAACTCGAAGAGCACGAAGTGGCCTACAGTTGGCTCCGGGCATTCAAAATGTGGCCCGGGAATGGAGTTCTGGGAGAAGACCACGAAGTGGCCTACAGAAGAATGTGGCCCGGGAATGGAGTTCTGGGAAAGAGCACGAAGTGTGTGACTGTTGGCTTAAAACGACTTCTGCGGCACCCTGTCCGGCACCCGCCCAGACCCCCCTGTGGAGTCATCTGCTGCTCTCTTTTGAGACCACTAGAAACCTATCAGAACAAGCTGTTAGGTAATATCCCCACCAGCCCTCGCCTACTTGGCACGTTCCGCGCCGCAGCTGCGGCTCTGGCCCTTGGCGCCCTGTGGCGACATGGTCAGTTCGTACCTGGTAACTCCTGGCCACGGTACCCGAGCTCGAATGCGTGGCTTCCAGCTCTCCGCTCCTGGTGGCGCGCCGCTTTCTGGGTCGCCCGGCAGTGGAAGCGCCCTCGCCAGTGTGATGCGTGGTCGAAGGTGCAGAGCCGATCAGGCGTTCTTGGCGTGAGGTCCTACTTCCTTCTTTGGTGTCTTCCAGCCTTAGACCTGCACGTTGCATCAGCTTCCCTGGGCGTCTGCAGACCTCTCAGCCAGCTCCCCCCAGCAGCAGCCCCTCAGCAACCGCTTGTGAGCGCTGGCCCGGCCGCTTCGCGCGTCGCTCAGTAGCTGATTCGGCTGGCCCGTGCCCCGGATCCCCCTCTCGGCGACAGCTTTATTCGTCTGCCCGCGAAGAAAGGTAACCCCACCAGCGCCCCGCTTTGTCTGGACTCGCCGCTGGCGCGCGTCCTGCGGCCGATGACTAGAAAGTATCCCCACCAGCCTATCCGGATTTTCCGTTGAGCGCCCGCATGTCCAGCCCTTCCTCCGTGTCGGGGGTCGCCGTCCTACGCTGCTCCCTGGCTTTGTCCACGGTGTGCTGTTCGTCTTGCCGGCGGTCTTCTTCCTCTGTGACGTGGGCTTCTTGAATTGCCACCTGGTGTTGCGCGTTGCCCAGAAGTTCGTCCTGGTGCTTGCGCTCCTCCGAGCGGCAGTGAGGCTCGCCTCCTATTTCTCTCTCTCTCTCTCTCTTTCTCTCTCCTGCTCGTTCTTGTTATTTTCTTTTCGCCTTCCTCTTCTTTGCGCTAATTTAGGCTTTTGCTAGTTTGCATTTCCCTGGGCGCCGCCCGACCTTAATTCACCGCGGTCGCGATCAAGAACGTATCCCCACCAGCCCATCCATCAACGATGCGCAGGCACATTGCGTATATCAGGAACGCATGGGCGCATGCAGTGGGCCACGGGGGGGGGGGCAGCCCTCAAACCGATTATAGGGATCGGCCTGAGCAGTCCCAGGAGTGAGCCCTAACTGCCTTCGCGGATTTGTCGATGTTGGATCCCGGCAACTTATTTGGAACATCTTGGGGCCCTTTTGTGGTAGTCTTGGCTTGGCCCTCTTGGGGCCCTTTTGGGGCCCTCTTGGGTCCCTCGGGGGCGTTTTGGGGCCATGTTGGAAACGATCGGTCTCAGGAGGGAGGGGGTAATTCATCAATTTTGGTCCCCCGTCGGAGTCCGACATCTATCCTCTTGGGGCCCTGTTGGGGCGCTCTTGGGCGCTCTGTGGGACGTCTCGGAGCCCGCTTGGATCCTTGGGGCCCTCTACCACCCACGCCTACGAGCCAAAAGGCTGGTGGGACTATCTCCTCCTCTTTTCCCTTCCCCTCTCCTCTTTCTCCTCTTTCCTCCTGCCTCCTTCCCCTGTCCATCTCCTCCTTTCCCTTTCCTTTCTCACTTATCCCTCCTTTCTGCACCTTTCTCCTCCAGCGTCCCCTCCCCCTTCGGTGCCACGCCCAGCCTGACCTGGAAGTGACGTCCCTCCTCCCTCCCTCCTCCCACCTCCCTCGTCCCTCTTTCCCCCCTCCCCCCTTCCTGCTCCCTCCCTCCGCCCCTTTCCCCTCCTCCCTCCTCTCCCTCCTCCTCCTCCTCCTCCTCCTCCTCCTCCTCCTCCTCCTCCTCCCCCTCCTCCTCCTCCTCCTCCTCCTCCTCCTCCTCCTCCTCCTCCTCCTCCTCCTCCTCCTCCTCCTCCTCCTCCTCCTCCTCCTCCTCTCTCCTCTTCCACTCTCCAGTGTCGGGCTCGAGGCCTTGCGTTCACCCTGCTGACCTCCTCGGCGCTTGTCCTCTCATGGCGACGAGGTCGACGTGAATGACGACGACGACAGGACAGGGCGCAGATCCAGACCCGCTCGATCAAGAAACCCATGGTGCCCGAGGCGCTCGCCTGGGGCGACCACGCCAGCCAACACCTCAAGGAGCGGCGAGAGGGGTTGCCGGGGGGAGGCGGTGGGAGGAGAATCGGGCAGTCGCTCGACAGTCCCTTGCAGCGTACTTAAGCATCAGGCTCTCGTCTGAAGCTTCATCAGCTTGCCTGGCACTTCGCGCATCCCCACCAGTTCATCCAGAAACGATGCCCAGGAAAGTTGTCGGGAGGAGGGGCATCGATACGCCTATAGTGAAGCCAGGAGGCCAACAGTGGTGAACTTGGAGACGCCTGGCCGCCCCTTGGAGGCCTCTTGGAGCCAACTTGGAGCTCGCTTGGTGGGGCCCTCTTTGGAGCCCTCATCGAATTGCTCTTGGGGCCCTCATAAGGCCCCCCCTGGGGACCTTTGGAGCCTCTTGGGGTCATCTTGTAGGCAACCGATCGAATCTGATGGGATTCTTACAAAGCGCCCCCCTGCCGGATGCAACGCTCTCGCCTCTTGGGGCGCTTTCGGGGTGCTCAGGGTCACTCTTGGACACTCGGGGCCGTCTTGGAGCCCCTGTGAGCTCCCTGTGGGAGCAAACAAGCAGCGCGGTGCCGTCCTCGCAAGTTACTCGCGGCTTGCGCGCTCGCTCGGGATTTCTTGAAAACTTCCTGTAGGATCGCTCTCTCGCCGCTCAGCCAGCGCGCTTTCAACGCCCGCCCGCTTCGATACCCCGCCCGTCCGACCCGCCCGCCAGGGCCCATCAATCCGACCCACCCGCCTTGGTCTGGCAGTCCGACCCTTTCATTTGGCGATCCGTTGTCCGATCACGTGAAGCCCGCCTGCTTTGATGTCCCGCCCGCCCGACCCGCCCGTAAGGGTCGGGTCCGCCCGACCTGCCTGATAGGATTTGCCCGGCGCAGCAGCCGCCGCGGACCCTGCCGGCGTGGCCGGCCGCGCCACGCGCTCTGGGTGTGACCCGTCCCCCTGAGCGGCCCTCGCTCCCCTTCCTGCTCATTCGGCCGCCGTCTCCCCGTTTTTTTTATTGCAATGTGGGACTATTCTCTAGAATGGTGCCTCCGTTTAGTTAGTTCTTCCGCTAGCGCACTTACTCTGCCTAGCCGCCAACACAAAAATGTTAGGATTTGCCCAGTCGGTCCGTCCGTTGGGGGTCCGCTCGCCCGACCCGTCTGTCTGGGGCGGTTGCACCCGGGACCTGGCATGAAGGACGTCTCCCCAGAGGGGGTATGTTGATCCAGCTGCCAGTTTCGAGCACCGCCACCGTGTCAGCGCTGCAGCGCAGAAGGAGGTTGAGTCAAAAACCCACTGCAACTCAGCGCGTGGCCTCAATTTGCGTGGGTCGGAAGCTCGACCTCGTTCCCTCGACTTTTCGGGGCATCGGAGGGGCTTTTCGGGGGCCTCCTGGAGTGCCTCTTTGGTGCCTCTTGGGGCCTCCTGGGGGCCTCTTCGGCCGTTTCAGGGCACTCCGGGCCCATCTGACGCCTTCGGATGCCGTGTGGGGGGCCTTTTGGGGCCGTCTTGGCGTCCTTTCAGTGTTTTGGGGCCATTATGGAGGTCTCTTGGGCAGTTTTTGGGCTGTCTTTGGGCTTTCTTGAGGGCCGTCAGGGTCGTCTTGGGGGCTTTGGGCCGTCTTGGGGCCTCTGAGGTTCGATTTGAGGGCCTCTTGGGCAGTCTTGGAGCCCCTTGGACCGTCTTGGGGCCCTCTGTGGAGTCTGTTGGGATGTCTTGGAGCCCTCTTTCGGGACCTTTTCGGGCCGCCTTGTGATTTCGCAGGCTTGGGTGGGCCATTATTTTGAACTCTTCGAGTCATAAGTCCGTAGCCGTTCTGCATTGAACAATTTTGGCGCAAGGTCGTTTTGATCTACTCTTGTTGGGGCGCGACCTCGGCCCGCGCTCGCTGCATCAAGTAGCCATGACCATGTACGAGATGAGTGACATGCAGTACCAGGCGGTGTACAATGTGCTGTCGTTCGCCTTGGCGAGCATGATGGCCACTACTGTGTACTTGTGGTTCCGGTCATTCGCAGTGCAGGACAAGTATCGGAGTGCTGTCTTGATTTCTGGCCTTGTCACGTTCATCGCAGCTTACCATTATTTCCGAATCTTCAACTCTTGGGTGGAGGCTTACAGCTACCCCGCGGGCAAGCTCGTCGACGGTGCCATGGTCGTCGAGGGCCCGAGGCTGACGGGTGTGCCCTTCAACGATGCATACCGGTACATGGACTGGCTCTTGACGGTGCCGTTGCTGTTGATCGAGATTCTTCTGGTCATGAACCTCGACGCCGAGACCTACAGCGAAAAGGCCAAGACGCTGGGTGTGTCCTCTGCTCTGATGATCGTGAGCGGCTACTACGGGGAGCTGACGGTGAGCGGCAACCTCGCCCCGCGCTGGATCTGCTGGTTTGTGTCCATGCTATTCTTCTTGTACATTTGCAAGGAGCTGCTGATTGGCTTAGCCGCGGCCACTGAGAGCGAGAGCGACACGGAGATCAAGGGCAAGATACGGATGGCGCAGGTGATGACGGTGATCAGTTGGTGCACCTACCCCGTGGTCTACCTGTTCCCGATGCTCGGCATCACCGCCGCGCAGGCCGTCGTCGGCATCCAGATTGGCTATTGCGTGTCAGACATCATCGCCAAGTGCGGCGTGGGCCTTGTGATCTACCAGATCACGTACGCCAAGTCGAGCAAGGGCGCACTGCTGGGCTGAGCGGGAGCTGGACGGCCCGGGGCTCGCTGTCTTGGGCCAGTTCGCCTTGGAGTTTTTTTTCGCGCGGATTTCCGCGCAGGTCTTGTGGCCAAGCCTCGTGGCAGTTTTCTTGGTGGTTTGGACGGCTTCCGTGAAGCCGCCGCATCGTTTTCGGCTAAGGGGGATTTCTAAAGCGACGTTCGTTCCATTCGACGCGGCTTTCCGCCCGGTCTTCTGACCAAAAAATGGAAGGACAAACGCAGTTTTTAGTCTTAGGTCTCGAGGGCCTCTCGCGCGTCCTCTTAAGGGAATTCGTGCGTTACATCGAAGGCCTGGACCCGCAGGCCTTCGATGTGAGGAATTCGTGGTCGTGAACCCCGTTTTGAAAAGGAGCCGTCTTTTCTCCGTGTGATTGTTGTAGACATCGTAATACGCACGGGCAAGAAAAAATCGCCCTCCATCATTACAACTGTTCGAAGCTTCTTAGACGAACGTGATCGGCCATAAGGTGAGAGCCCCATTTCGAAAACGACCCCCCACCATCCCTGCAGCAGTTGCACGCTTGTAACACGTATGTGCACGTCGCTAAGGCGAGAGTTTTATTCTGAAGTTCTGATCAGGAGTCTCTCTCATGCTTTGTAATGACTGCGACTCTTTTCGGACGCATGTGCGCTCGCCGCACTTGGCAACCGACCTGCGCTCCATCCTCGTAACCCTTGCAAGCTTTTTGGACGAACGTGCCAAGCGATAATTCGAAAACATCATTCGGACTCCCGCCCCTGCATCCGTATAGCTGTTTCAAATTCCAAGCATGAGGACCATACGTGGAGAGGTAGTCTCAGGTGGAACGTCTGGCCCGCCCTACCGAAACGTCTGTGGGTGCAACACGGAGGACTTGCTCATAAGGAATGAAAGTATGGAGGAGCAGATCAGCCTTGGGGTTCAGGGGTTATAGGGAGGATCCCGATGGAATAGGGGGAAGATAATGATGATGATGATGATGATGATGATGATGATGATGATGATGATGATGATGATGATACTGACGATGATGATGATGCTGATGATGATGATGATGATGATGATGATACTGACGATGGTGATGATGCTGATAATGATGATGCTGCTGATGATGATGATGATGATGATGATGATGATGAGAGGGAGGAGGGGGAAAGATGATGATGTTGTTGATGACGCTGGTGATGCTGATAATGCTGATCATGATGCGGCTGATGATGATGACGACGACGGCGGTGAAAACGATGATGACGAACATGATTACCACCATGATGATGAATCTGATGACTTAGGATTAAGATGATGCTGATCATGATGTGGAGGATGAGGAATGCTGATGATGATGTTGGTGTTGTTGATGGTGATGAAGCTGATTTCGATGATGATGATGATGGTGATGATGGTGACGGTGATGGTACTGACGAAGATGATGATGATGCTGATGATGATGATGATGGTGATCATGATGATGATGATGATGATGATGATGCTGATGCTGCTGATGACGATGATGATAATGATAACGATTATGACGATGATGACGATGGTGATGTTGATGACGAAGCTGACGACGACGATGCAGATGACGATGATGAGGCTGCTGTTGCGGATGATGATGATGATGCTGCTGATAATGATGATGATGATGATGATGATGATGATGATGATGATGATGGTGCTGATTATGATGATGATACCGACGATGATGATGCTGATGACGATGCAGCGGATGATGATTCTGATGATGCTGCTGCTGCTGAGAGAATGATGATGCTGATGATGATGCTGATGCTGATGTCTGGAATGCTGATCATACTCAGGATGGTGATGCTGGAGATGATGCACCTGATGATGATTTCGATGATGATGATGATGATGATGATGATGATGATGATGATGATGATGATGATGGTGATGATGATGATGACGATGATGATGAGGATGATGATGCTGATGCTGCTGCTGCTGATGCTGATGCTAATGATGATGCTGATGACGATGATAATGCTGATGTTGCTGGTGATGTTGATGCTGATGAAGACGATACTGATTGTGATGATGCTGATGATGATGATGATGATGCTGATGATGATGAGACTGACGGTGGTGGTGATGGTGATGATGCTGATGCTGATGCTGCTGCTGCTGACGATGATGCTGCTGATGATGATGATGATGATGATGATGATGATACTGTTGTTGTTGCTGCTGATGATGCTGATGATGACGATGATGATGATGATGATGATGCTGATGCTGCTGATGATGATTATGACTATGATGATGACGATGACGATGACGCTGCCGATGATGCTGATGATGATGCTGAGGATGATGAGGATGCTGCTGCTGCTGATGCTGATGATGCTGATGATGCTGATGTTGATGCTGATGCTGCTGATGCTGGTGATGATGTTGATGATGATGCGGTTGCTGCTGCTGATGATGATGATGATGCTGATGATGATGATGATGACGATGATGCTGATGATGATGATGATGATGATGATGATGATGATGATGCTGATGCTGCTGCTGCTGCTGCTGCTGATGATGATGATGATGATGATGATGATGATGATGATGCTGACGAGGCGGAGGAGCAGGGGGAGGAGGAGAAGGAGGAGGGCGAGGATGAAGCGGAGAAGGATGTGGTTAAGTCATGCGAGTGATACCTGAGTGGCTGGGTCGACACTGCCGAAAAGAGGGAGGAGAATGAGGAGGAGGAGGCGGAGGAGGAGGAGGAGGAGGAGGAGGAGGAGGAGGAGGGGAGGAGGAGAGGAGGAGGAGGAGGAGGAGGAGGAGGAGGAGGGAGGGAGGAGGAGGAGGAGGAGGAGGAGGAGGGAGGAGGAGGAGAGGAGGAGGAGGAGGATAAGGAGGAGGAGGAGGGGGAAGCGGAGGATGAGGAGGCGGAGGAGGAGGAAGAGGTGGTGGTGGTGGTGGTGGTGGTGGTGGTGGAGTGGGATGAGGAGGAGGAGGAGGAGGAGGAGGAGGAGGAGGAGGAGGAGGAGGAGGATGAGGATACAGAACATACTAAGAGCGCGACAATGAGAGAATGAGGAGAGGTGCAAGATGGCGACCATGCCCGCCCTCCATGGCGTGAGCATGCCTATATGTTCCATCTGGCCCATGACCCGTCCCCACCTCCTGGTCATCTCCTTTTCCACTTCGATGAATCCCTCGGCAGTCCCCCAACAGTGCAGGATTTGAGGCGAACCGAAGCGAATCCTCAAGTCTTAAATGTATACGTATACACTTATACGCATCCATATATGCATACATGCATGCGTGCATACATACTTACACACATACATACACACAAACACACATACACATACACGCATACACACATACAGACATACATACATACATACATACATACATGACATAACATAACATAACATAACATAACATAACATACCATACCATAACATAACATAACATATATACACGCATACATGCATACATGCATACATGCACACATGCATACATGCATACATGCATACATGTATACATGCATACATGCATCCATGCATACATGCATACATGCATACATGCATACATGCATACATGCATACATGTATACATACATGCACCTACATACATATGTGCATACATGCATACACAGACATACATACCTACATACATACAATCATACATACGTAACTATACACAAACGCACTTACACATACTTACACCGATACATACATACACATACACACTGCCATTCATACATTCACATATACATGCATCCAGCCATCCATACATACATCCATGCACACATCCACACATGCATACACACATACAAACACATGCACACATCCACACATACAACCATACATACGTACATACACACATGCATACATGCATTCATGCATACAAGGAGACACACGTGCGTACATACATACATCCCAACATACACGCATACATACATGCATACACACATAGCGCCTTATATTCAGTTATTCATTCATTCATTCATCCATCCATCCATCCATCCATTGATTCATCTTTAGATGTATACATATAGATAAAAGAGATGTATCGAAGACGCCTGCGGCGAATCACTGCCGCCCCCAGTCTTTTGGAAACGCCCATGCGGCCAAGCTTTGGGCTGAAGTCTGGCGAAGCTATTGGACTACGTGTTCCCCCAGCTGTTGTGGACCCTCTTGGGGGAACACTGGGGAGAGGAAGAGGAAGGAGGAGCAGAGGGAAGGAGGACGAGGAGGAGCAGGGGGAGGTGGAGGAAGATGAGGAGGAGGAGGAGGAGGGGAGGAGGAGGAGGAGGAGGAGGAGGAGGAGGAGGAGGAGGAGGAGGGGAAGAGGAAGAGGAGGAGGAGGAAAAGAAGAGCGCGACAATGAGAGAACGAGGAGAGGGGCAGGATGGCGACACGATCATCGTGGACTGCATGGCCATCACGGACTCGATGGCCCGGAGAATGCGGGCCCAGCGCCCTCAATACACCGAGGAGGACCTTGAGGAGATCAGGAAGAAGCTGCGGTTTGACCTGAACGACAGGGTGCTTTGCTTCTGCGGCCCCCGGTGGCTCTCTGGCCACGTCGTCGGCTCCGCTGTGCCCGACGATGACACTCTTCTCCCTTATCTGGTCAAGACGGACCCAGTCCCTGGGCTGCCCAGCAAGACGATATCGGTGCCAAGCGACCGTGACGAGGTCTGCACTCAAGAGGTCTGCTTCGATCCCGAGTCGGAGCTTCACCTGGTGAAGTCAGCCGCCACGCTTCTAGCGGGCTCACAGAGGCCGAAACTGCGGTTCGCTGCTGGTGATAAAGTGGCTTGTCGATTGAAGAACGACCCCAAGGATGGTCTTGAGACTTGGGTTGCCGGAGTGGTTTCGTCCATCTGGCCAGAACTTCCTGGGGAGCGGAAGTGGCAGATCGAAAACATATCTGGAGAGTTTCCGAGCGTCGTGGCCTATAAGGTAGATTTCAGCACTGGCGGCTGGGTTTACTGCCACAGGGATCACCATGCATTGATCCGTAGAGATGGCATGCAGCCGCAGACGAGGGTTAAGGGTATCAGCAAGCGAATGGAGGTGAGAAAGGCCAATGATGGCAGCAGGGAGCAAGTCGACCACCAGACTGAGCGCCGCAAGCGAATGCTAGAGAGCGATTCCGATGGAGATTCTGATGTAGACCCACAGAGGAAGAGGTAAGCGAGTAAGTATGTAATTTTGTTCATTTTTGTTGTCCTCAGTGTGTTCAAGTATTCATCGTGCACGCATATACAGATTTCCGGCTGCCTACGGCGAACTCCGCCACCGTGCCAGCGCAGCAGCGAAGCAGCACAGCAGCGCAGCAGGAAGGGTGTTGAACTTTAGACCATCTCCAATTCAGTGTTCTGCCTGAATTGGCGCGGGTCTTGAGCGCCCTCGTTTGTCCACAGCCTCGTTCTCCTCTTCTTTCCTACTTGCTTATTCTTCTCCCTCCCTTCCCTCCTCCCTCTCGAAGCCATCTTCGAGGCTTCTTGGGGGCCTCTTTGGGGCCTCTTGGGGTCGGAGGCGTCTTGGTCGCGATGGTTTCGCGGAGGTATCCCGAAGACGCTCGGTTGAACCAGCTTGGGGACGTCTACGCGGGTTTCGTGAGCCCTGTTGGGCCGTCTCGGATGGTTCTCGGGTAGTTTTGGGGCTGTCTGAAGGTTCTGCTGGGGCAGTTTTTGTTTTTTTCTGGCTTCGTGAGGCTCTCTGAAGCTTCGCCGATGCGATCTGACGCCGAAAAGTGTCGGAAGCAAAAATCATGGACTTTCGTTTGATTGGTCACGGTCTTTGCCTCGATGCCCATCGGATGCCTCTTTGAGGCGTCTTTTGCTGGCTCCTGTGCCTCCTGGGGCACTGTGGTGGGGGGGTGGTGGGGCGAACGCTCAAGCTAGAACTCTGGCCGCCAGCAGCCCGGAAAGTAGCAATTTGGTACCAGCCCGTGGAGTGTACCCCAACCCGAAATTGTTCGAGCCAACCGGAGACAGTGTCGGCCCAACCCATCGGGAGCCTTGAGACGGGGGTCAATGCAAACGGGGGTCGGCCAGAGCGCCCTATCTTGCAGCATCCTGCAGGGCCAGGGTCGCATTGACCCCGGATGGGGTGCAGGATCTTGCAGGATCCTTCGCGTTGACCCGGGTTTAGGTGCAGGATCTTGCAGGATCTTGCCGGATGCTGCAAGGCCTGACTGACCCGGGTCTGGAGTGACCCAGGTCAGAAGATCCCCGAACCCAGAAAGCCATGGGTTCTCTTGCTCGAGCATCGCCGGTGCCGTTTCGTGGGTCCCCGTCGGGCTGCTCCTTTTGGACCCCCTCGGGCATCTTGGAGCTTGGAGCTGCGGTCTCGGCCGGAGCCGAAAGGTAGGAGGAGGAGGAGGAGGAGGAGGAGGAGGAGGCAGGAGCCGAAGGGTGAGACATCAAGGTTCTTTAGTTTTCTTTTCGTTCGGGACCGTCTCTGTCTTCTCGGAGGCCTCGAGAGGCTCCGTGGCTGCTTGGGAGCCGTCTTCTGCGGCGATCTCGGGGCCTCGCGGAAGCACCGCGGAGGCCATTTGGAGCCATCGTCCGTCATCGGACGCCGTTGTGGAGCTCATCTTCATCGGTCGTTGAAATAGATATTTTTGGATTTCCATATTCCAATCTACGTTAAGCGCCTTTCTACTTCAATGTTCCAGCGGCTTCACTTTTTCCGTCCTCTTTAGGGGGCGGGCGGACACCCAATCTACTTTCAACGCCTTCCTACTTCATGTTTCCACTGGCTTCTTCCGACCGATGGGTAGTTCTCTAGGGCCATCCTGAAGCTACCTTGGCCACCTTGGACGCTCTGACCTGGTCGTGCCCCTCACCCGTCCCTCTCGCTTCCGCTCGCTGTGGACGCAGCGCGACACGCGTGCCCCAGAATCGAGAAGCTCGGCCCGAACTACAGTCAACCCGCACAGTGAGGACGGGCAACCTTCCCAAGGGTACCCTTGCATCCCTGCCTCCTCGGTTCATCCTTGACTGCTTCCGTTGGCCGTGCCCCGCTCGAGAAGCTTCGAACTGGGCGTCCGACGCACTTGCATCCTTCAGGAGGGGAAAAACATAGCCACAAGTAGTCGTCAATTCTCAGGAGAATGTGGGAAGATATGGGCAGTGGGGGGGAAGACGGACGCCCAGAAAATATTGGAAATATGGGAGATCCTGGGATTTGTGTGTATTTATTGGTGTGTCCCTGGGCCCCTTCAACCCGGATCGCGCCTCCTTATGCTACGGGCCGACCGTGTTCTCGGCCGGCACACGCACGCTGTTCTCCGAAGGAGGGCGGAGGCTTTTTTTATTCCCTCCGATGTCGCGTGGGCGAGCGGGCGGGCGAGCGGTCGGGCGTCGTCGTCATCTTCGCCGTCTTCGTTGTCTTCCGTCGCCGTCGTCGTCATCGTCGCTGTCCTTGTCGTCGTCGTCGTCGTCGTCGTCGTCGTCGCCGTTTGTCGTCGTTTGTCGTCGTTGTCGTGGTCGTGGTCGTGGTCGTGGTCGTCGTCGTCGTCGTCGTCGTCGTCGTCGTCGTTGTTTGTCGTCGTTTGTCGTCGTCGTCGTCGCCGCCGCCGCCGTCGTCGTTGTTTGTCGTCGTTTGTCGTCGTCGTCGTCGCCGTCGTCGTCGTCGTCGTCGTCGTCGTCGTCGTCGTCGTCGTCGTCGTCGTCGTCTTCGTCGTCGTCGTCTCTTCGTCGTCGTTTGGCGTTGTCGTCGTCGTTTGTCGTCGTCGTCGTCGCCGTAGCCCTGATTATCGTCGTCATCGTCGTCGTCGTTTTTTGCCTCCGCGGCGTTGTCACGTGGCGAGCAAAGTGGAGTAGTTACCTAACAGCGAAGACTGATAGGTTTCTAATGGGGTCAAAAGAGAGCATCTGATGACTCCCCAGGGGGGTCTGGGCGGGAGCCAGACAGGCGAGAACCGGGCTCGTTTTAAGCCAACAGTTACACACTTCGTGGACTTCGAGGTCCCAGAACTCCATTCCCGGGCCACATTCTGAATGCCGGGAGCCAACTGTAGCCCACTTCGTGGTCTTCGAGTTCCCAGAACTCCATTCCCCTGTAGGCCACTTCGTGGTCTTCGAGTTCCCAGAACTCCATTCCCGGGCCACATTTTGAATGCCCGGAGCCAACTATAGGCCACTTCGTGGTCTTCGAGTTCCCAGAACTCCATTCCCGGGCCACATTTTGAATGCCCGGAGCCAACTGTAGGCCACTTCGTGTTTTTCGAGTTCCCAGAACTCCATTCCCGGGCCACATTTTGAATGCTGAGGCAGGGTGATGCTGAGGCTGAGACAGGCTGAGGCTGAGGCAGGCTGAGGCTGAGGCCGAGGCTGAAGGCAGACTGAGGCTGAGGCTGAAGCAGGCTGAGGCTGAGGCTGAGGCAGGCTGAGGCTGAGGCTGAGGCAGGCTGATGCTGAGGCAGGCTGAGGCTGAGGCAGGCTGATGCAGGCTGAGGCTGAGGCTGAGGCTGAGGCCGAGGCTGAAGGCAGACTGAGGCTGAGGCTGAAGCAGGCTGAGGAGGCTGAGGCTGGCTGAGGCTGAGGCTGAGGCTGAGGCAGGCTGAGGCTGAGGCTGAGGCTGAGGCTGAGGCTGAGGCTGAGGCTGAGGCTGAGGCTGAGGCAGAGGCTGAGGCTGAGGCTGAGGCAGGCTGAGGCTGAGGCTGAGCCAGGCTGAGGCTGAGGCTGAGGCTGAGGCAGGCTGAGCTGCTGAGGCTGAGGCTGAGGCTGAGGCTGAGGCAGGCTGAGGCTGGCAGACTGCTGAGGCTGAGGCTGAGGCTGAGGCTGAGGCTGAGGCTGAGGCAGGCTGAGGCCGAGGCTGAAGGCAGACTGATGTTGAGGCTGAAGCAGGCTGAGGCTGAGGCTGAGGCTGAGGCTGAGGCTGAGGCTGAGGCAGGCTGAGGCTGAGGCTGAGGCTGATGCAGGCTGAGGCTGAGGCAGGCTGAGGCTGAGGCCGAGGCTGAAGGCAGACTGAGGCTGAGGCAGGCTGAGGCTGAGGCTGAGGCAGGCTGAGGCTGAGGCTGAGGCAGGCTGAGGCTGAGGCTGAGGCTGAGGCTGATGCTGAGGCTGAGGCTGAGGCTGAGGCTGAGGCAGGCTGAGGCTGAGGCTGAGGCTGAGGCAGACTGAGGCTGAGGCTGAGCAGGCTGACTGAGGCTGAGGCTGAGGCTGAGGCTGAGGGCAGGCTGAGGCTGAGGCAGAGGCAGGCTGAGGCTGAGGCAGGCTGAGGCTGAGGCTGAGGCTGAGGGCTGAGGCTGAGGCTGAGGCTGAGGCTGAGGCTGAGAGGCAGGCTGAGAGCTGAGGCTGAGGCTGAGGCTGATGCAGGCTGAGGCTGAGGCAGGCTGAGGCTGAGGCCGAGGCTGGCAGACTGAGGCTGAGGCTGAAGCAGGCTGAGGCTGAGGCTGAGGCAGGCTGAGGCTGAGGCTGAGGCAGGCTGAGGCTGTGGCTGTGACTGCGACTGCCGTTGCCACTGCGACTGCCATCGCGAATGCGACTACGACTGCGAGAACAGCAGAATTCTACAATCGGATTCTCATCTGAATCTTAAGGGGAATGCTTCCAGATATGCTCCTACACATCGCTGTTAGGTTGCTTTGCTGGGATAATATTTTCTTGGCGTCCCGGGCGTTGCCACGTGACAGATCGAGTGGTCTAGTAAGACTAGTACTTCTTTCGGCCGTCGCGGCGTTTCCACGCGACGAACAATAGTGAATCATATTTCTTCGTCCACTCCCGCGGCGTTGCCTCGTGATGCTTCGCCCCCCCACCCCCCTTCGCGTTGCCTCGGGACCCGTAGAGTGGAATAGTACTTGTTCGGCTCCGCGGCGTTGCCACTTGACGAGTAGCGTGGAATAGTAGTTTGCTCGCCCTCCCAGGCGCTGCCACGTGGCGAGCAGAGTGGAATTGTGTGTTCTTTCGGCCCATAGGCGCTGCCACGTGACAAGTATAGTGGAGCAGTATTTGTTGTTCCCCCCACAGGCGCAGCCGCATGGTTAGTATAGTTGTACTGTCTATTGTTGTCCGGTGCCCAGGCGTACCCGCTTGACGAGTGGCATAGCGAATATTCCTGGCTCGCCTCCCCAAGGCGTTGTGACGTCCCTCTCCCTTTCACTCGCTGTGGACGCAGCGCGACACGCGTGCCCTTGCATCGAGAGCGTCGGCCCTATTCTCGATCGGCTCTCACCGCGGTCTTCACACTCGGGCCGAGGTTTTCACTCCCTCCAATGTCGCGCGGGGGTAGGCGGGCGAGCGGTCGGGCGTTGTCGTCGTCTGCGCCGTCGTCGTTGTCTGTCGTCGTCGTCGCCGCCGTCGTCGCCGTCGCCGTCGTCGACGTCCTCGTCGTCGTCGTCGTCGTCGTCGTCGTCGTCGTCGTCGTCGTCGTCGTCGTCGTCGTCGTCGTCGTCCCCCCCACCATAGGCAGGACCTCTCCTGGGACCCCCGCGGTCGACCCCCCCCCCCCAGGAGCCGCGGGCACCCCGGGGGGGGAGCGGTACTCTGATCTGGAATCGCCTCCCACAGGCGGGACCTTACCTGGGACCCCTGCTAGGGACCCTCCCCCCAGAGCGAGCCCGCCGCCACGGGGGGGGGCGGTATTCTGACCGGGGACCATCCCTCCTCACTGCAGACGGGGCCTTCCTCGGAACTCACCCTGGCGCCCCCGCCCCCTGGGACCCGCCGGGACCGTGGGGGGCGGTACTCTGACCAGCGATGACCCACCCGCGCCACAGGCGGGACCTCTCCTGGGACTCCCGCTGGCGATCCCCCCCCCGGGATCCGCCGAGACCCCAGGTGTGGGCGGTATTCTGACCTGGGAACCCCTTCCCCCCTTCCCCCAGGCACCCCCTCCCGCCCCCACCACTCGCCTCCCCCCTCCCCCCCAGTACCTCCTGGCGGGGAAGGGATGCAGGGAAGGGAATAGACTTGACTACGACGTTCGATGTTCTCGTTCCTCAAATTTCTTGGGAATTGCGACGACGACGGCGGCCACGACGACGACGACGACGGCGGCCGCGGCGGCGGCGGCGACGGCAGCGGCGGCGACGAGGAGGAGGAGGGGGAAGATGATGATGATGATGATGATGATGATGATGATGATGATGATGATGATGATGATGATGATGATGATGATGATGATGATGATGCTGATGCTGATGCTGATGATGATGATGATTGCGGCTGCTGCTGCTGCTGCTGCTGATGATGATGATGATGATGATGATGATGATGATGGTGATGATGATGATGATTGCGGCTGCTGCTGCTGCTGCTGATGATGATGATGATGATGATGATGATGATGGTGATGATGACGGTGGCGGCGACGACGACGACAACGACGACGGCGATGGTGCCTTTCACACGCTGAAGGGTCGGCGGATGTGTTTCGGCCGTCGTGGCGTTCCCACGTTGCGAAGAGTAGCCGAGTTATATTTGTTCGCCCCTGGCCGCATTGCCTCGTGATGCGTATAGTTGTTTTCGAACCATCCTGTGGTGTTGGGCCTCGTTTTGCAGAGACAGCGACCCGCATCCCTCCCTCCCGCCTCCTGCTGTTTCTCCCTCCTCCCATCCTTGCCTCTGCCCTCCGCACCAGTCAACCTTTTCGGCACACCCCTCACACGTTTCGTGGCCCCATAGGGAGCTTTACCGAAGGCTCCATTGGTGGTGTTCGCATGCGTCCGCCCCGCTCATTTTCGCACGCCCCTCACACGTTTCGTGGCCCCATAAGGGGGCTCCACCGATGGCCGCAGTGGCTGCGTTTGCATGCGCCCGCCGCACCCAGTCCAGGATACCACGCGCACGTTTCGTGGCCCTCTGGGGAGCTCCGCCGAAAGCCCCACTGGCTGCGTTCGCATGCGCCCGCCGCACCCATTCTGGCACACCTCTCACACGTTTCGTGGCCCTCTGGGGAGCTCCACCCAACGCCCCACTGGCTGCGTTCACATGAGCCCGCCGCACCCATGTCGTCACACCTCTAATTCGTTTCGTGACCCCATAGGGAGCTCGACCCAAGGCCGCAGTGGCTGCGTTCGCATGCGCCCCCCGCTCCCATTTCGGATGCCCTTCACACGTCTCGTGGCCCCAGAGGGAGCTCCGCCGAAGGCCCCCGTGGCTGCGCTCGCACGTGCCCGCCGCGCCCCCCATCTGCGACAAAAAGCGGCTCCCGCTCGATGCTTCCCCACAGTCTACTGTGCGACGCCCGGGGGCCCCCCCAACTGTGGAGCGGCGCTCTCGCTCGATGCTTCCTCGCGATTCGCTCAAGTCGGGGAGTTGCCCGTGGGCGCGATAGCTCGCATGGGGGCCACGGCGGCGCGGTGCGCACACACAGTGCACTGCGGAAAGTTTTTGTTTTTTTGTTTTTCTTCCCGTCGTTTGGTATGACCAAGAAGCGCCCCATAAGAAGGGGGCTGGTTCATACACTCGGCGGGCGGGCGCAAGGGAGAGGTGGAACCGCATGAAGTCACACTAATTCTTATATCACATGCTTGCAAGATGGACGTCGTCGTCGTCGCCGTCGTCGTCGTCGTCATCGTCGTCGTGGTTGTCGTCGTCGTCGTCGTCGTCGTCGTCGTCGTCGTCGTAGTCGTCGTCGTCGTCGTCGTCGTCGTCGTCGTCGTCGTCGTCGTCGTCGTTTTTGTCCGTCGTCGTCGTCGTCGTTTTCGTCTGTCGTCGTCGCGTCGTCGTCGTTTTCGTCTGTCGTCGTTGTTCTTATCGTCGTAACCGTTGTGGTCGTCGTCGTCGTCGTTGTCGTCGACGTCGTCGTCGTCGTCGTCGTCGTCGTCGTCGTCCTCGTCGTCGTCGTCGTCGTCGTCGTCGTCGTCGTCGTAGTCGTTTTTCGTTTCCGTGGCGCTGCCACGTGGCGAACAGAGCCGATCACTGTGTTCGCTTGCCCTCCAGGCGCTGCCACGTGGCGAGTCGAGCGCAATAGCGTCTGCTCCGCCTCGCGGCGTTCCCGCTCGACGAGAGGGTGCACGAGTATTTCCCCCCCCCCTCAGTCGTTGCCACGTGGCGGGGAGACCGGAACATTTTTTACTCGGCACTCGCGGCGTTGCCACGCGACGAGGATGAGTAGGATCGTACTTTGTTCGCCTCCCAGGCGCTGCCACGCGGTGAAGTGAGCGGACTCGTGCTTTTGTTCCCCTCTGCGGCGCTGCCTCGTGGCGGGCAAAGTAGCTCGTGCTCCTTCCTCGCTTTCCGCCTCTCCCTCCTCCGCTCAGCCCGGGGGCCTCGGGCTTGCAGGTGTGCTCCGTGGGATGTTTCCTGGGTTTACCACCCGTCCGTTTTCTGGGTTGTCCCCACACAAGTTCTGTGTCAGACCTGTCTTTTTTTGGGTTTGCCCAATATTTTTCGGGGGTTGAGCAAATCAGCTTGGCTAAGAATCCAACCCTTGGGTTGCAATTCATGGGAGCCTTTTTTAGCACCCTGGCGAATCCAAGAATCCAAGCCTCAATTTACTGCCGTCTAGTGCCGTGTAGTGTTGTTTAGTGTGGTTGACGTCCTCCTGTTCCCTCGTCCATTCTTCAATTTAGTGCAATTCAGGGTCAGTGAGTGGAATTGTCTAATCTAATTCAGTGCCAGTTCGAGCAATGTAGGACAATCCAGTGCCATTTAGTACCATTTATTGTTATTCAGTGCTGTTTAGTATCACTTAGTGCTATTTCGTGCCATTTATTACCATTGAGCACCATTTCAGTGCAGGAGAATTCTGAGAACTCGGACCTGCACCAAGTCCTACTATAAACAAAGACTGCAATTCCCTAAACGAGGTTTCATGATCTGAAACCTGGCAACCCTTCTCAATTCTCGGTGACTAAACAGGACCGTCCAATCCACAGGAACAACTAGAGGGATCGCTTCGCCGAAGAACGTCAGACCGCACTCAACGTTCCCCATTCACGCACGTACTCTCGCGGCTCAAATCGCAAACGGGGGGACTACGAAGAGTGCGAGGGGTGTGCCGAAATTGGGCGGGGCGACGCCGAGCGAACGCAGCCACTGGAGCGTTCGGTTGAGCTTCCTGTACGGCCATGCAACGGCTGAGGGGTCTGCTGGAGTGGGGCGAGGCACCTTGCGGACGCAGCCGCTTGGGCCTTCGGCGGAGCTCCCTATGGGGCCACGAGGCGTGTGATGGGTCTGCCGCATCGGTGCGGGTACTCCAGATTTCGTAATAAAAGGGAGGGGGTCTGGACCCTCCAAGACAAGCCATTTCAGACCTCCCCCGTGGGAGACCCCTCCAAAACATCGTCCCCAGACCCCCCAGGCCCTCCAAGATAGCCTGGAAGAGACCCCCCCCCGAAATGAGACCCCCCTCCCTTTATTACGAAATCTGGAGTAATCATGCGAACCCTGCCACCGGCGCGAAGCGTGAGAGGTCTGCCGAATTGGGGTGGGCCACTCTGTAAACTGGGGCCTTCGGTGGAGCTCCCAAGGGGTCCACGAGACCAGTGAGGGACGTGCCGAACTTGGTCGGGTAACCATGCGAACCCTGCCGCTGAGGCCTTCGGTGGAGCTCCCTAAATGGCCACGCGCCGTGTGAGGGGTGTGCTGAGTTTGGGCGGTTGACCATCCGAACCCTGCCACTTGGGCCTTCGGTGGAGCTCCCTCTGGGTGCACGAAGCGTTTGAGGGGTGTGCGTGCTGAAACGGGCATGCGGAAGGCAGAGCAAGGGGAGGAGTGAGGGAGGAGGAGCAGGAGGAGGGGGAGGAGCAAGGAAGGAAGAAAGGAGGAGACGCGCGGCGCTGCGGGTTCAACAAGAGGACATAACACACAAGCGGTTGGGGAAAACTTCGATTTCGACGGGCGATTTTTGAGGGGGCAATGTTGGAGTGGTTTTGGGCTCGTTAATCCGTCTCTCGATGGACTGGGGGCGTCTCGCATCCTGTCGGGCCGATGCTTGGCTGTCTTTGAGCCGTTGGACGGGCGACAAAATAGCTGGGGAGCAAATATGGGGGCGGGGAATCGGCTTTAGAAACAAAGCAGGAACCCTACCAGGCAACGGACAAGCAGGACGACTCGCCCCAGCGTGCCGCTGGCCCGGTGGCGGATGTTCATTTCCGCATCTGGCTTACCGAGGGGTGTTCTTTTTTTTGCGCCAGGCAGCCCTGTCTTGCAGAGTTCGGCCTCCTACCTCGTGGCGGCTCCCGCACTTCTATGGAGGGGCCGTGCGCAGACAGTGGTGGCAGGGAGTGCATTCTCTGCGTCTGATCCGAGGGCGTGATTCAAAATCGATCAGTGCAGCAGGCAATTGTTTGTCTTGGTGGCGGCGGTGGCGCTAGTTGCATAGATGGTGGCATCAGCAATGCTTCCCAAGCAGGCTTTGCTCATACAGGTTGTATCGCAGACGCCTACGGCGAATCACCGCCGTCCCCTGCCTTTTGGAATCACCATGTGGCCGAGCGTTGTGGCAAGAGCTCTGCTCAACTATCGGACCATGTGTTCCCCCAGCCGTTGTGGAAACCCTTCGGGGACCACTTGGGGGAGGATGGTGGGGACGATCAGGAAGATGAGGAGGAGGAGGAGGAGGAGGATGTAGAGGAGGAGGAAGAGAAGGAGAAGGAGGAGGAGGAGGAAGAGGTGGAGGAGGAGGAGGAGGAGGAGGAGGAAGAGAAGTGTAAACCGAAGAGCCATCAACGACGTTGGAATTCACCGTCCCTCCAAGCTCCCTCTTCATAGGCCCCTGCAACGGTTCATGTCCACTGTGGGATCTGCCTCGTGGGAAGACAACCGTTTGAAGACCCGGAGGCATGCCAAAACATTGGTGATTGCAACGCCACAGATCAACTTGATTGTTGCGTCTGGGCGATCCTCGATCGTGCCAGAACGCCATTTTTGGGTTTTCAACACCGCGAATCAAAGTAACTGTCGCACCTTCCAAAACACCATATGTGCGTGGCGCTAAGGCGAGAGCCACATTTTGAAAACGGGTTATCCTTAATCCGTGAAGCTCTTGCAAACTTAAAAAACGAAGGTGCGCGGTGCTAAGGTGAGAGCTCTTGCAAATGTTTAAAATGAATGTGCGCGGCGCTAAGGCGAGAGCCACATTTTGAAAAGCACCCGCTTTCATCTGTGAAATTGCTACATCGTGAGGAAGTCTCAGGCGAAACGCCCTGCCCGCCCTACAAACTGGCCTCGGGGTGCGACAGGGAGAAGTTAATTAGAAGGAACATGGATGGAAGAGGAGGGGGAGGAGGAGGAGGAGGAGGAGGAGGAGGAGGAGGACGGGAGGAGGAGGAGGGAGGGAGGAGGAGGAGGAGGATGAGGAGGAGGAGGAGGGAGGAGGATGAGGAGGAGGAGGAGGAGGAGGAGGAGGAGGAGGAGGAGGAGGAGGAATCTTGGGAGCCTCTGGAGGCACTCTTGGGGCCTCCTGTGATCTTCCTGGGAGCCTCTTGGAAGCATCTTGGGGGCCTCCTTGGGCCTCTTGGGGGCTCTTGGAACCGTCTCGGGAGCCTCTTTGGCTGTCTTCGGACATTCGTGGCCCGTCTGACGCCGTCGGAAGCTGTCTTGGGGGCTTCTCTGGGCCGACTTGGGGCCCTCTTGGGGTGCTCCAGGGTCGTCTTGGAAGCCATCCTGGGCGTCTTGGAGGCCTCTTGGGCCGTCTTGGGGCCCGCTTGGGGCTGTCCTGGGGGCCCTTTATGCTGTTTTTGGGCCCCATTTGGAGGCCTCTTCGGCGATCTTGGGGTGATCTTTGGGGGCACTTGGGTCGTCTCGGACCGTCGGAAAGCCGAAAGAAGCAACTGCCCAACTCCTTCAAGCACAAACAGCAACTCAACGATTTTAGCCTCTTCGGGCCTTGATGGAGGCCCTCTTGGATGCCTCTTGGGTCGTCTTGGAGACCTCTTGAGGGCCTCTTGGGCCGTCTTGGGCCATCTTGTAGCCATTTTGGGTCGTCTTGCCTCCTGGCCCGTCTGACGCCGTTGGAAGCTGTCTTTGGGACCTCTCTGGGCCGACTTGGGACCTTCTTGGGGTGCTCCAGGGGCGTGTTGGAGGCCGTCTTGGGCGTCTTGGAGGCCTCTTGGGCGGTCTTGGGGCTCGTTCGGGCGGTTGGGGGCCTCTTGGGCCATTCTGGGGCCATCTTGGAGGCCTCTTGGGCGATCTTGGGGCGATCTTTGAGGGCTCTTGTGCCGTCTCGGACCGTCGGAAGGCAGAAAAGAAGCAACTGCCCAACTCCTTTAAACACAAACAGCAAATCAATGATTTTGGCCTCTTCGGGCCTTCCTGGAGGCCCTCTTGGATGCCTCTTGGGTCGTCTTGGAGACCTCTTGGGGGCCTCTTGGGCCGTCTTGGGCCATCTTGTAGCCATTTTGGGTCGTCTTGGTGGCCTCCTGGCCCTTCTGACGCCGTCGGAAGCCGTCTTGTTGGCCTCTCTGGGCCGACTTGGGGCCTTCTTGGGGTGCTCCAGGGCACGCGACAAGCCTCAGGAGATTTCGGTATGTGGGGTCTGGGCCCTTTAAATATTCCTCAGGAGTGAGGATTGAAACTTGGAGAATTGGGCCCAGGACCTGAGGACACGACCACTCCGTGCCAAGCGGCACGGTGGCGGATTTCGTTGTCGTCGTCGTCGTCGTCGTCGTCGTCGTCGTCGTCATCATCATCATCGTCGTCCGCATTCCTCCTCGTGCTGACCCGCGTTCTCTTCGCCCTCGTCCTTGTGCTTCTCTTCCGCCTCGTTGTCCTCATGCTACTCCTCGCTATCCTCATATTCTCCACGTCGTCCTCGTCATCGCCTCCTCGTCGCCCTCGTCTTCCTTCTCTTCTCTTCCTTCTTCGCCCAATGATCCCATTGGGCTGAGGCGGCGCTTCCCGTTCTCAATGGGGCAAAGCGGCGCTTCCCGTTCTCGTCCGATCAGCTCTCGCAATGCGCCCATCGGGCCCAGCGGTCATAGTGAACAACCCGAGGGCTTCTTGGTGATCCCCGTGTTCTCGACGGAGTCGCCCGAGGGGAACGGCCTCGCCCGCCCCTCGGAGGATGACGGGAAGCGCCTTCGGCGTGCACCGCTGGCTCTTGGGCATAGGACGCGGGCCGCACCGGGAACTTCGCCTGCGGATTCCGGGAACATGGCCGTTTCGCTCGAGGCATCTTCGACGACTCGGCTCCGGAGAGGACTCCGAAACAGCATTGTCTTGGAATCGCTCCCAGAGGTCAGTGTCGTGGAATTGCTCCTGGAGAGAGCTCCCGAAAGCCCCCCGGGGGACCTTGAGAGCGCCCCGAGGGGCCCCCGAGGGCCCCCGAGAGGCCCCCAGGAGCGCCCGAAGAGCCCTGAGACTGCCCACGCTCCAAGACGACCCAAGACAGCCCAAGATGGCGCCAAGATGGCCCGAGAGAGCCGCCACATAACCCTAAGACATACCCAGACAGCCCAAAAAGACCCCAGTAGCCCCCAAGAGAACCCCGAGAGGCCCACAAGATAGCCCCCAGAGAACCCCGAGAGAATCCCAGGATGGCCCAAGATAGCCCCAGACGGCCCCCAGGTTAGCCTCAAAAGATCACGAGGATCCCTCTTTTCTTCGACGTCCTTTTCGTCGGGCTTCTTACCGTCCTTCTGCTTCTCCTTCTACTCCGGTTCCTCCTCCTCCTCCTCCTCGTCCTTCTCCTCCTCCACTTCGTTCCTCCTCGTACTCGTACTCGTCTTCATCGATCTGTTCCTCCTCGTCCTCGTGCTTGTCTTCCTACTCGTTGTCCTTCTGCTCCCCTCGCTGCCCTCCCCGTCATCCACGCTGCCATCCTCGACATCCGCCG